TGTTCGTGGACGCTCGGTCACGCAACCTGGGTGGCAGTTAGCATCGGGCGTGAGGATATTTGGGCGGCAGTGTTAGCTTGGTGGGTGAGGACATGTCGGCTGCAGCTTCTGGTGGGCGGATGAGGGCGGTCTCTGTGGCAGCTTCAGGCGGGCGGGTGGGGATCTGCGCGTGGCGGTTGAAACGTGTGGATACGGTGACAATTTAAGGAGTGCGTGCGTACGTGTGTGTTTGCTGGTGTCGGTGCCAATCTTTGTTTGCAGTCCTGCGTTCCTCCCTCCGGATCCGTCCCCTCGTTCCAATGTTGCCTGTCTGTGCTCCCGGTTGTCTCGCGCTTCGTGTTCCTGCAACCTCCGCCTTTGCTGTTTGGAGGTCCCTCTCGGAAGCTAGCCGGGCGATCGAATCGATCACTGGTAGCATATCTGCTTAGCATGAAACCCGTCACTGCCCATGCTACCCGCTGACGGCCATCAACAACGCGTCGGAGGAAAAGTGTCTGTGGCTGAGGCGGTCGCGGTTGTCCCTGGCTGGTTGCATCTCTCTCTTCGCCAGGCGCGCATGGGCAGCAAAAGATAGTCGCGACCTGGAGTCGAGCCTCCGCAGGCGCGTGGCCGAGGCCATCGCTTTGGTCAGCTTCCCCACGGGGGCGGGCTCCGACGGCTGGGCCAGCAGGCAGGAGCTCCTCGTGACCACGAGGACGGCGCCAAAGGCTACCTTGCGGCGGTCGCACGCGGCGACGAGAGCTTCGACCTTCTTCAGCCTGTCGAAGGGCCCCCCACTCCGAGATGGCCTCCGACGCCGCGGGGGCCTCCACCATCGCCGCCCCCCCCCCCCCCTTGAGCCCCCCGCGCCGCCCGGGCGCCGGGCGATTGCCGCGGAGCGCGCGGCGAGGGGAGTCGGCGACGCGGCGGAGCTCACCCCGACGGCGCGGGTGTCACGCGACTCGCGAGTGGGACTGGCCCAGCTTCCCAACGGGACCCGGGCGTTCGTGGAGCGGAAGCGAGACGGCGAGGCTCCCGAGGAGCACTGCAGCCGGACTGCGAGCCGCCGCGGAGACGGAGAAGGGAGCCCGGGCGCTCGAGCGCTGTCAGCGAGTTTCCAAGCCTCAGGCGCGCGACAACGCCTGTGGAGAAAGACGGTGTCCAAGATGGCGGAAGTGACGTTCACAGACTGGCCCCTGCCAGGCCAGCGCGCGGTCGACTGGCGCGCGCCGTTCGTGGACCGCCGAAGCGGGGGCCCAGTCGACCACCATCGCCGGCGGGTTGGGCACCTCCGCCTGCGGGGATCCGACTTCGGAGTCCAGGAGCACGAGCACAGGATGCGCGTGTTCCAACTCTTCGGGGAGTACGACCAGGTCGATATCCCGAACCTGGCGGGGCTTGAAGTCATCCTCCGGCGCTGCCAGCTGATCGAGCACCACTACTATGAGAAGAAGATCAAGGCCAATGCCGGCAAGGACCAAGGTGCCGGGCTGACGAAGGAGGAGGCGTCCCACTTCACGGGTTCCCACAGGCTCGGCGGAGAAGATATGATATGCCCAGAGCTTGTGGAGTGGGTGTCTGAGGACCTCGAGAAGGACGCGAGTGTGGCCGAGCAGATGCGGAAGGCGCGAGAGGAAGCACGCCTCTCGCGCAAGGATGGTTGAGAGGACCCCGACCCGTCGGCCCGTCTACCAAAGCGGAAGCATCATCGCCTTCAACAGGCTGGTGCGGTGCTTGGCCAACGTGACGCACGACAGCTTCACGCTGAAGGCTTCGGTTGCCCGACTGGGCTCGACAAATACAGCTTCTGTCGGAAGGTCAAGCGCCGCGCGGAGGCCCAGGAGCACTCCGCCCAGTGGTGCGCAGACGCTGCCCGCTCCCTGAAAGAGATCGGAGGCCACCAATGCAAGGGCGCTGACCCCAGCGCCTCCGTGCGCTCCCGGCCGCTCGCGCATGACCTCGGCATGGCAAATGTGAGAGCCAGCGTCGAACAGTGGGGAAGCCTCCCGCCGTCCTCACCTGCCAGAAGGGGGCTTCAATGAGCTCCGGGCAAACCACAGTTACGAGGGTGCCCCCTGTGACTGTGGCGCCGATGGATATAGCTTGCCCAGCCTGGGTGGAGTTGACTCGCCATTTGGCTTGGTCCAGTTGCTGCGTGATGGCCGCTCTGAGGTCCGCGGTTTTGTCTACACGCTCCCACAAAAGCTCGCGAATGTCCTCCCCGACCACAAGATTCTCTACGTACATGTCGCCATCCGGCGCGAGGACCACCCAGGCGTCATCGGACGATCGGAACCGCCTCAACAGCAACCTTTGATGGTAAAGGGCGGGCCCTGCCACTCGATAGCGAACCCACGCCAGCTGGTACTACTCGCCTCGCTCCGACATACTCGCATCCGCGGCCTGCGCCAGTGCTCACCACACGGCCGACACTCAACACGAACCCCAAGAGCCCGCCAGCATGCCAAGCAGGAACAGCACCAGCCCCTGCACGTTGCAGTCCTCCGCCTCCGGCGACGCCGGGCACTGACTGGCGTGGCACGCTGGGCACGGCGGGCACGCCACAGGCTGCGGGCAGGGCGCGGCCTGCGCGCAAGTCAGCGCGGGGCACGCCGGGGCCGCGGGGCACCGCAGGAGGTACGACTGGGGTGACCTGCGCCGCCGCCTCCAGCCCAGGAATCCAGAGAGCTCCTGCCATCCGCCGCGGGCGCTCGCGCCTCAAACCTTAGAGCCCCAATTGGAACGGAGGAGGAAAAGGGGGTCAGGGATGCATCAACGGTGTCAACCTGCACACTGACCTCTGACGGCCGAACGTGACTCATACGCACAGAGCTAGGACGATACGGGTCATCTGACAATACATACACACATACATATGTGTGCCTGCGTCGCGGAACAGAGTGATTTCGTGCACCACACCGCCTGCGTGCACCTACCACAGGAGCCGCGTTCACCAGAGCGCCTGCGTACACCGCGATGCCTGCGTGCACTACAGCGCATGTGTACACCACACTGCCTCCGTTGATTACCCTTCGGTTGTAGAGTTATGCTCTGGGAGATGCCTGGGCGCCCCCTCGGCCCGAAGGAGCGAGCAACATTGGTGCCAGTAAGCGCGCACACTACTGATGAGAGACTGTGAGAACACGACAACAGTTCGGACGACCACACGACTACGACCACGATGACGACCGCAACGACGACTACGACGACGATCGCGACGATTACGAAAACTACGACGACTACCACAGCCACGATGGCAATCACAACGACGGCCACACGCCGACTACGACCAGTATCACTGAGTCCAAGACGAATGCGACGGTCACGACAGCCACTACGACGATCAGCACGACCACAAGACGATCGCGACAACGGTCATGATGACTACGTCCCCCCCGGTTCACTCCACCCTCCCCCTTCCTCCTCCTCCTCCTCCTCCTCCTCCTCCTCCCCTCCTGATACCACTGGTACTGCTACTGCCGTTGCCAATACCTCTGCCACCTATACCACTAGTTGCTAATCTGCCAACACCAAAATACCATGTGAACTCCGCGCGCGCGTGCGCAAAAACATGCCGCACCCTGCAAGTGCACAATGGCCGGCGAACGCAGCACCATGTCTGCGAGCACGTGCAATGACCCTGTAAAAGCCAGATTCACCACAGTAGCCTGCGAACACCACAGTAGCCTGCAGAACAATAGCAAATAGCGTGCAGGGAATGGCCTGCGAGGAAACGCAGGCACTGCGGCCGCAACTTGCTGCGAGACTGTGCTGCACGCGCGCACTGCAGCAGTGTCGGAGGCGCGAGAGGGGGCATAACGCGCGTTATGGCCGTGGGGGTAAAAAATACTGTCGATGGTTACCCCGATGGTTGTCCTTGAAGTGGCCCTGGCAAACATGGACTCCGTCGGGCGGAGCAGTTGGTTCCCCCCTGCGACCTCCAGATGCGCCTATGGCCAGTCTTGCACGTGTAACGTTCACGAAAAAGAAAAGAAAGCATGCGCGAATGTGTCAGTAGGTAGCGGAGCAAGGACGCTGTCTGCCCCATTGGTGCGGATTATTTGTGGATTTGCATGCCCCGCTGGCGCGGGTTGGCCATTCTAATTCCGATGCTTCCCCATCAACGGCGAGTCGCTCATAGTAGCAAAACAGCTCTAGAAATACTTGACCGTAAAGCAGCAGCTACATATCGTCAAACACATATTTCTAACACAAGCAACAAGTAATCATAAAGCGTGTGACATTACGGCAGACGGTGCCCGACATAGTGAACGTGACCACTCCATCTCTAGAAATTGGCACTCGCCTTTCCTGGTCTGGGTCACGCCTTAGAGCCACGTCGCCTTCTGCAACGGCCAAGAACACGAAGCAAATATCCCTGTCTCTCCTGCAGGTTAGTGTAACCATTACGACAGGCGGCATCAACTTCAACGAATGTGACGGAATCAGAAAGCAAGGGCAATCATTGTCTAGTTGTTTTCAGTGCATTCAGAGACCCTCTGAGCATCGATAACGGTGATCGTGATGCGGGCGATGCACGCTAGGGGCAACATGAACAAAACCAGGCTCATGAACCTTGCGATACGCAGGAGGCCTCCCTGCTTGGCCCTAGGAAATCATATGGAAAACCCACCTTCACTCCAACCCACCTTGCAGCCCGCAACCGCAGCCTCGTCCTCCGCCTGAGCACGAGCCATGATGACGAGGCGCGCAGTGGTCTCCGAGAGAGGTGGAGGAGGGAGGAGGGAGGAGGATGAGTGGAGGAGGAAGGAGGGAGGTGAAGGGGGGAGGGAGGAGGGAGGGGATCTACATGGCGAAGGGGGGGGGGGCATGCAGGCGGGTCCAACGATGGTCTCCTTCATAGGTATTACGGCCGGAAATATGCCGTGGAAGGGTGGGTGAAACGGAGCGCAGGACTCTCACCGGAACCGCGAATTACGCAGCGACGGCCCCCACTTCACGTCGAGTCCTGATCGATCCTTCCACCTCTCCTCTCCTCTCGCTAACCCAATTTCCTACACCCCCAAGACAATTCAATGGGCGAGAAAATATACACCACCACAAGCCGTCCACAGGCCGATTGTGAACCTCGATCTTGGTGCGTCTCCAGGCCAAGACCTGAACAAAAACTGGCCCGTGGAGGTCCTGCGGAGGTGTCTACACGTACACCTTCCCTCGCCCGATGATCTGGACAGTTGCGGTTCTAGTGCTGCCGCTGCGCACCCTCGAGCGCGGGAGGCTGATGAGTCAGGTTCCTGCCTCAACCACGCAGGCCCTGGCCCCTGACGCTGCAACAAGTGTCGCTTCCTATGGGTCCCAAGGACCGAGCCGAGCCCCATTGAGGGATTCACCCTCCAACGCCCGCGCCGGCACCGCTGCCGCATCGAGAATGCACGAAGCTGCCGTCATTGGGTCGGGTCCAGCTGACCACAACCTCCCCCCCCTGCAACATCGCCAATCGCCGAAAGCCCCCAAGGGGCGGAAGCGCGGGCAATCTCGGCAGCACTGGGGACGAACTGGGAGGCAGCAGGGAGGCGCAGCGACATTGCGCGCGAACGTCAGTCGGCACGTGTTCTCTTCAACGCTCACATGGGGCATCTCAACCACGCAACCGACATGCTGACATGACGCTCGAGGCGGACAAGACAAGAAGTCGCATACATAACTGACCGACCGCGGGCGAAAATAAAGTACCGCCCACCCTTCACCCCCTCCATTTTTTAGTCCCGACCACAGGGATCTATATGTGGGGAAGGCGCGGAGGACGAACTTTATAATCCACGGAAGAATTGCCTTGTGTCCTGCGCCTCTGCGGGCAAGTAGCCACGAGCCTCGAGATGTCTCGAGTCATCCTCGTGTAGTGCGACTCTGCAGGCAAGTAGCCACGGGCCTCGAGATCGCTCGAGTCAGGCTTCTGTCGTGCGCCTGGATTAACCTCCTCCTCCTCCTCCACCTCCTCCTCCTCCATCATCGTCACCATCATCATCATCATCATCATCATCATCATCATCAGCATCATCATCATCATCATCATCATCATCATCATCATCATCAGCAGCATCATCGTCACCATCATCAGCAGCAGCATCATCGTCATCATCATCAGTACCATCAGCATCAGCATCAGCATCATCATCATCCTCATCATCATCATCATCATCATCAGCATCATCATCATCATCATCATCAGCATCATCGTCATCAGCATCATCATCATCATCATCATCATCATCATTATCAGCAGCATCATCATTATCATGATCATCATAATAATTAACTTACCTTCCCCGGGAAAAAAACCTTTTATCCCCGCGGGAACCGCGAACTTTATTATCCCAGAGGGGCTATTATCGCCCGCGGTCGGTTATGCAAACATATAGGCAGACAGAGAGAGGTGGGCAACAAAGCAGATAATGTCTCATCAGGAGAGGCGGCAAGCATGCCAAACTACTAATAACAACGCACACGACGGGGACACGATGATGCAGCAAACGAAGATGCACGCAATCGAGCGCTATGGAGGAGACATGGGGGGATGAACGGAAGCGAAGACGGTAAACCACAGAAGCCTCCAAGTGCCCAAGAGCTATCAGCGCAGCGCCTCGCTCAGATCTCCTCCGCGCGCCCCTCAGCTGGGCACTACTATCACTGCCCGCCCTTCTTCTTCTTGCCCCCGCCCGAGACTGCCATGAGGCCCGAGACGGCCAATGCGACGCCCCCGCCCAAGGTGGCGAACATTGCGGCTGGCACGAAGAACTCGATCTCCGAGCCCTGGACCGCGATGGTTCCGAGGCTCCCGACAGTCACGACAGACGCGATGCTCAGGATTATGTTCGGCAGCTGCTCCCTGAATTTCCTCTCGTCCTCCTCGTCTGCAGCGACCCCCGGGTCGACCTCGGGGGCGGCCGCAGCCTGACAGGGATCTGCGGTTGGGTGGCACTTCCCCTGCTGCTGGTGCTGCTGCCACCCTTGTCCTTCTCCTCCTCCTCCTTCTCATCATCATCATCATCATCATCATCACCATCATTATCATCATCATCAACACCACCACCATCATCATCATCAACAACATCACCACCACCATCAACATCACCACCACCACCACCATCATCATCATCAGCAGCATCATCATCAGCATCATCCTTTCCTCATCACCCTCCTCCCAGCACTGTCCCTCCATCTTCTTCTTCTCCTCCTCTTCCTCCTCCTCCTCCTCATCATCATCATCATCTCTCCTCCACCTCCTCCTCAATATCATCATCATCGTCACCATCATCAGCATCATCATCAGCATCATCATCACCATCATGGCTGATCCTCCTCCACCTCCTCCTCCTCCTCCACCTCCTCCCCTTCCTCCTGTCTTTCCCTCCCTCCCCGCTAAAGTCGGTATCAACGCTGGTGCTGCTGCCACCCCTGTCCTTCTCCTCCTCCTCCTCCTCATCATCATCACCATCATCATCATCATCATCACCACCACCACCATCATGATCATGATCATGATCATCATCGTCATCATCATCATAATCATCATCATCATCATCATCATCATCATCATCATCCTCATCATTATCATCATCCTCATCATCATCAGCATCATCAGCAGCAGCATCCTCCTCCTCCTCCTCCTCCCCCTCCTCCTCCTCCTCCTCCTCCTCCTCCACCTCCTTCTCCTCCTCCTCCTCCTCCTTCTCCTCCTCCTCCTCCTCTCTCCCCATCCTCTTCCTCCTCCCTTCTCCACATCCTCCTCCTCCCTTCCCTCCTCCTGCTGGGTAGCCCCCGGCTTGCCACACAACACCTGACGTGTCAGCAGTTTTGAGAAATTCCACACAGTGTGCGATCATACAACTTTGAGCCTTCGTTCCTCTGGATCTCGCGATAAGGCCTCTTCCCTCCTCCTCCCTCCCCCTGCATCCTCCTCCTCCGTCCTCCCCCGTGTGTGGCGGCCGTAGGCGCCCCGCCCCAGAGGTTCCCCAAGAGGACGCAGCACGTGGAGACTCGAGAGCGCCCATCGCACCCTCTGCTTGGCACCGGCGGCAGCAGCACGTGCGCACCGCGGCCGGGCCTCGGCGCCCTGCTCGCCCACCGCCGCCCTCGCGGGCACGCGCGCCGCGCGCCTTGGGGCCGCCGCCGGCCCCTCGGCGCCGCCGTGGAGCGCCCGCGTGCCTCCTCGCGGTGGGGCAGAACGCGTCCCGCCTGCAGCACGCTTTGAAGCCCGCTGGAGGGGTCGGGCCGGCCTCCAGGGGAGGCCACCAGGGGCCTCCCGCGGGGGGGGGGGGGCCGCTGGAAGGTGTAACGATGGTTTGCCCTTCGGGTATTCACGCTGAAACGGCTTCGGTGGCACGTGACTGGCAACTTGGATGAGGAGGGGCCGAAGATGCAAGGATGCAGTGAAGCACTGCGTCCTTCTGGTTGCAGGACTGCGACCACAAAAACCCAAAAATTTCGATGGACTCGAACCCAGGGGTTGCGATGGACTCGGGCTCTCGGACTCCTGGGGTTCTCATTGCGAGCATCTCTTGATACTTCAAGAAGCATTGGGCGCCATGACACAGCGCGGTCGGTGTCTTCACGCGCGCCAGCACAGGTACCCCAACCAGCCGACCTCTACGGTAACCTTGCTTCGCGCTTCGCGCCGAGCGAAGCGCGGAAATATTCGCGCCCTAGCGCGGCCTCAGTCGAGGGAACCCCGGCCGCAGAGCGCAATGCGCGGTTATATTTGCGCCCCTGCGCTTGTCCTTAAGAACGTATCGCGCCCGCCTCGCCCTCCAGGCGCGCGCGGCGCTCACAAGAATCTGCATTCCCTTTTGGCGGTGCCCACGTTTCGGCCACCAATATTTCGCCGTTATTGTCCCAGACCCATTCCTCATTTCCTCCTGACTCTGTCTGCTGCTGCGCATCCATCTCCCCCGCTACTCTTTTGCCTTCTCCTCCTCCCCCTTCTCTGGCGCCTCACCCGCCTTCTTCTGTGATTGGCCTGCTTCTCGACATCTACTCATCCACCGCCTCCTCCTCCTCCCACCCTGTCCGTGCACATGGTCCTGCTACTGTTACTGCTGTTACTTAGCTACTCCTCCGCAGGCCTCCTCCTCCTCCTCCTCCTCCTCCTCCTCCTCCTCCCCTCCTTCCTCCCACCCTCCCTCTCTCCCTCCCTGCTTCTCTTCCTCCTCATCCTCCCCCCTCCCCTCCTCCATCTAGGACCCAGAGGGCGGCAACCCTGGCGAGTTTTCCCCGCAGGCCCCAGGACCGACGTCGTGAACATAATCGCGACGCCTTCAAACAAAAACGCGGCCAGAACTCTCGACCGCGAACACTCCTCAGAGTGGCAAATCTCGCACCAGATCGATCCGCCAGGGGCCCGAGACAGGCTTCTCTGACGACGCCTGGAGCCGCCGCCGCCGTCGCGCGCCGCCGCCGCCGACGCGAGGGGAGCTCCGGAGGCCGCCAGCGCCGCCGGGGCTGCGAACGCCCGGCCGCCGCCAGGCGCGAGGCCGCGCCCACACGCCGCAGCGACCGCAGCCGCCGCCGCGGACAGGACGCCCAGGAGAGCCGCGTCGGGCCGCCGCCGCCGCCGCCGCCGCGAGCCGCCTCCGGGGGGGCGACGGCCTCACCGACGGCGCTGACGGCAGCGGCAACGAGGGCGAGGATCGACAGGCGAGGGGGCTCCAGAGAGGGCCAGGGGAGGAGGGGGAAGCCACGGGAGGGGAAGGGAGGGGAAGGGAGAGGCATGAGGGATGGTGGGGGGAAGGGAAGCCGACGGGAGCGGGTGATCCCTGCCACGTTGCATCAACCCTTGCTTTCTTTCGCCCTCCCCATCCCCTTCGCCCGCCTTCTCTGCATGGCTGTTATGGCTCACGGACGCTCTACCGCTTGTGCGTGTTCCCCGCTCTCGAGCCTTCCGATCTAGGCATGATGGCAGCAGGACCATACCAACAAGATACAAATTCACTGCCATCCTCGACGGAGGGGTGCGCCACAGTCCAGACCGGCGAGTGCGCAACAGCAGATCTGTGGTTTCTTCCATACGTTACCTTCTACATATCTCTGATGTGAGCGCGACGGCATGGCTTCCATCGCAAAGTCATGGCCGGTCCAATCCGCAATAATCGCGTCGCTGGGCGCCGAGGCGACGGTTCTCGTCGTGAGGTGCCGACATGTGCGTGGGCTCGGGCTCGACAGGATGGCCTGAATGCCCCGATGGTGGCTGCAGGGGTGGGGCTGCGCACGCTCTGTCCCTCAGGCTTGCGCACTGGGCGTACCAACACGCATCTGGAGCTGGCGTTGTCGCACATCTTCGTCGCCTCGGTGCTGTCTGGGTGCGGATCGCTATGCGCCGGGCGATGCTGCCCCAAAGAACTGCGCGTGTGCTCTGGCTTCTGTCCATCGACGTTCGATTCGCTGCCGATCAGTACAACACAGAGTTCGAGCAGTACTCGCGCACGTCATTGTCGTGGTCTTCATCTGACGGTGAATTCGTGCATGCCTTCTTCTCCCACTCGACCCTGTGCATTGGCAAAGCGCGGGCGACGCAGCAGGGCGGCAGACCAAGCCTACAGTCACGCCTTGGCGAACACCTGCAATGTCTTCTCCGTCCTAGCACCAAAGATGGTTCGCAAGCTAAGTACAAATTACTTCGGAAATCTGTGGCAGCGTGTGCTTTTTACCAGTCGCAGCCGCCCCTGCGAATGTCAGGAGCCATGCTTTTGAAAGCGTCGTCATCCGGTTCGCCGCCCATCCCGCCTGTCGAGCGGAACGCACTGCTGACCGTCAGCTCCGAAAAGCTGGTGAAGCAAGCGGCCCGGACGAGCGCAGCCTCGCTGTCGCCCCCCAACGCGTTTCTGGGCCCGTCGGTGGTGCATGAGCCTCTGGACGCTTCCCGTGTTCTTGGCCGCCGTCGCCTCCAGTGGTCATGATGGGCAGCGAGGACAGACATGGTAAACTTTGGATGTGGTTCGAAAGTCGTTTGGGCGAGTGTATGCTGATGTACAGCAGATGCTGCTCGCTGTATCTGGGCATATTGGTCCACTCTTCATCTTCGGCATGGCCTTTCCGTCTTTTCCTCACCTCTGCCGCGACTCGTCTACAGGCGCGTATGACGTAGTTTCTTACAGGAGACGGCAGGCGGTATGCTGAAGGTCATTAGTGGACCTTCTGCCCAAACCACGGCTCGGCCGCAGATCAATTACCTTCTGAATGTTCACCGGCTCCCGCCGCTCAGCGTGCCGGTGCTCGAGATGCCGTTCTTGCTGCGGGGCCGCCTCGCAATGATCAGGCGTTTCGTGGAAGAGTCTATCCTGCAGATTCGTACGGAGACTGCCAGGGTGTGGCTCTGGCGCAACGTGCGCTTCGTCGTAGCAAGGCAGCCGCTCTGGAGCGACAAATTCTGGGTCAAGCACGTGTTGAGCACTTTCTCGGACGCGAAGTTTCGCGGGGTTGATCATGCAGATCTCGCGCGGTGGGCGAGGGCACCTAGGCTGCGAGCCGCTCCAGGGAATTGGGGACTTCCCCAGTGGCGGTCAGCATGTGCCCTTTGGTGGTGTTTCGCCCGTAGTTGGACTTCTTGGTGCCACGCCTTTCGACTTCATCCTTGGGCGTTTCAGCATGGCCAGCGGATGTCCTACAAATGTTTCAGGCGCTTGGCGCCGCCAGAGGCGCCAGAGCTTTTGGCGCAGCACGGATGGACCCGTGCTCGCAGCCACGCGGAGTGATGACGCAATCGTAGGGGATTATCGCGACCATTCGAAAGCGTGGCTGATACCGCCCAGGGAAACCGTTCTCAAACTGCTCCAAGATGCAATTGACGACAATTCGTGGACAGTCCGCTCGGATTTGAATGTGCTGATTGTTCGAGCGTTCATGCATGCCTGGTCGTTGTTCGGATTACCTGCCTGGCTTCGACGCGGGCCAGTATCAGAGTTGACCGCCCCCATCTTGTTCCCGCTCGTCAAGAGCGTGCTACTCTGGCTGAAGCATGCGAGCTTGCGAAAAAAAAGAATCATTCGTGCTGGCGGATGCCACGTGCAGCAAGCGCATGGCTGGCGGGTGATCGTCTAGGCTGTGCGAGGTCTTCTTGAAGCTATTGGCGCTTACAACGAGTTGTTCAATATATCGTATGTCTGGGGCCGATTGGACAGTCTCGTCGGAGCTCTGATAGCTTCGCCGTCCCCATGCTGCATGCGCTGCGGCTGCTCCATGGACGGCTGTCTGGCCGCCGCGACACTAGACATAATTACGTACTTCGACCAAACGTTCGAGGCGTGCTCTTGTACCCGGGTGATTGCTGCGTGGCGTCGGCACGTAGAGCGGGCAAGTACGTCCTTTGGTTCCGAAGATGTTCTGGTCCACCGTGGCCGTGCGCCACACGTCGTGGCCCATGCTACCACGTGGCGCTAGGGGTATTCTTCGTGAATGCTGATGTGGTGACCCGGGCGCTGATGGCCACGACGTTGCTCACGGCGTTCTGATTGCAGTTGCGTTGGAACTTGCTGGCCTCGCCATCGGGGGGTCATGTCCGCCGCTGCGGTTGCCGTTCTGCTAATTAGCTGACGAAGAGGCTACATTCGAGGGCTTTGTATACACTAGCTTCACACTGGTCCAGGTCATTGGATAGGCCCAGTATGTCTGTGACGTCATGGACTTTTCGCGGTGGTATTGTTATTCGTGCCTAGTGGCCTTCATTCGCCTGGCGTTTCAAGAGAATCTGTCCGTGGTCACCGACTCAATGGCTTTGCCCACGGGCGCCGCCTTCGATTGGATAGACCTTGAATTGCGGGTTATCGATAGCCACGTCCATATACTTCTGAAGACCCCCAACCGCAGCTGGCTCACCGACTGCAAACAAGTGCGATGAAGGACTTGGACACCTCCCTCCGGGGCCGGCTCACGCCAGGCTTCTCCAAGCTTCGCGGCTGAATGGAGTGTCGATAGGCTCGGGTGTGCGCTTTGAACCAAAAAGAAAAAACGTGATCAGTGCGCCTTCGTGGTGACCGAGGAGGTTTCAGCGTGGCGAAAGAACGCATGAAGCCGAACCCATGCCATGGGAGGTACCGAAGGCCCACCGCCTCATGGAGCGGCATGACACGTCGTACCAGGAATATCAGGCAAAACGGAAGGAGAAATATCGAAATGCCCAAATGGCAGAACTTCTCCAGATTCTTTCCGACGGGAGCGGATGATCCGTGCCAAATTGCATCGGCCCTTGCTTTTCTTCCCTCTCGCGGTCCCCTTCGCCCTCCTTCTTTCCGTAACTGTCGTGGTTCGTGGGCGCCCAGTCGGCAACGCACGCTCTACCGCTTGTGCGTGGTCCCCGTGCGCGAGCCTTCCGATCCAGGCATGATGGCAGCCTGACCCTGCCAAACAAATAGACATTATTTGCCGCCCTCACCAGAGGGGAGGACGAGGCGGAGCAGCAGCAGCAGCAGTAGCGAGGAGGAGAAGCAGCAGCAGCAGACCTGACAACATCAGAACCACCACCCAGGCACGAGCGCAGGAGATCCCCAGGACTCCAGGACCAACCACCAACAAGTACGTAGAACTTAAAACCTGGGATCTCCTATTCCTCGTCCTCCACCTCCTCATCCTCATGATTATCATCCTCCTCCGTCATCCCTGTCCCTTCGATACAGGAACCCTCCCTGTCTCATCCCCAGACGCGTCGGTAAAACGGGCTGGGCGTTTCGCCAGAGACTTCCTCGCCAGTTGTGACCCTAACGCTTGAACGTTGCAACAACTTCGAGGATGGAACACAGGGCGTTTTCAAACTGTGGCTGCCGCCTTCGCGCCGCGCCCATGTGTTTTAACAACCCCACCAACCCTCAAGGCGTAGGTGATTCAATAATTGACATATTTCCACCTCCCCCCCCTGCTCGGGGGGGGTCCCCTCCCGGAAGGGGCCCGGGTAGTTCGAATTTCAAGATGGGCCCAAGATGGCCCCTGGAGAGTCTCCGCCACCCCAAGACGGCCTCCAAGATGGCTCAGGTTGGCCGAAGATGGTTCGAAATTACCTCCGACATGCCTCGAAGTATCCAAGACAGCCCCAAGACGGTTCTAAGTAGGCACCCTCTAAGGGGCCAAACGTTTATAACACCTCAGGAAACCGAATATGTGTTGCCTTCTCATTATGTCGCCTCCGATGGGCTATTGAGGACTCAAGATGGCCTCAAGACGGCCATAGAGAGGCCCAAGAGGGGCCCTAGAGAGCCCGAGGGCCGAACGAGCGCCCAAGAGCGCTCCAAGAGCGGCCCAAGAGGGCCCCAAGACGCCATCCTTGAGCATCCGATGAAGGGGGGGCCTGAATTGGGTACACCCTCCTCATAGGAGCAATGGGGCACAAGAGGCCTCATAGACCCCTCCAATGAACCCCACGAAGGCCCCGAGACACTCAAACCCGCCCCAAGAGGGCCCCAAGAGTGCCCCATGAGGCCCCACGGGGACCCCAAGAGAGCCCTTAAGATTCCATCGTCCTTCATGAACCTTTCACACCAACATACCTCCAAATCCCGAGTTCGCATGCTCTTTGTCATCGTCCGTGCCTTCCCTCTTCCTTTCCTGCCTCCTCCCTGCTCCTCCCTGCTCCTCCGCATCTTCCT